CTTTTAATCATTTAAAACCTGTTTTACAGTGTGGTATAGTTGTGCCGCTCTCAAGACAATCCAATATTAGAACTTAAGTCCACCTATACAGAAAGGTCCTTTAATCTGATCACTTCCCACTGCTCACCTGTCTGTCCAGTCTTCCTTAGAGACATTTCATATAAAACTAGTACATTTAAGCCATGGGACGGATCAATGACTTAAGAGCAATTGACTAGAGAAATATACAAAAGAATCTTTAGAAGTCCATATTACCTTCCATGTTAACATATTTATTTTCTCCAGATGGGCAAGAGTCCTACCATCTGACCTAGTGGTAAAGGGTCTGGTTCCGCATGCAGAACCCAGCACTACATTAAGACATTAGTGAGGGTCATTCATACAAAGGAGCAGTTTTCAAACAGGTTAGAGCATAAAAAGAATTTTTTTTAAAAGAAAGCAGTTGCTCAGAATCACAATATAGGAATCAGATTTTCAAAGGGAATGCTGCTCCAGATTAAGGGGTTGTGTGTGTGGGGTCTCTCCTCAAGTGTCACTGACTTCCCCATATGTACCTCCTAGACTCTAAGACTTAGAGCTACCACTGTGAAAAAACTCAGCTAAAACAAACAAACAAACGAACAAACCAAAAAACTCAAAACTTCTCTGTAAGACCTTATTCTTCCCTATGTATACACTTAGATTTTCTTTTATATGATGCATTTATTTATTTGGGGCAAAACCATTCTTTAATGCATTCTGCTAACATTATGGATTTCACCCCTATTTAACTTTAGTACCTGTCTATCTGTATCTATTTATTTAGACAGGGTCTTACTATATAGGCCAGGCTGTTCTTGAACTCCCCATCCTCCTGCCTCAGCCTCCCAAATCCTAAGATTACCAGTATGCTTTAACGTCTGTCTTCTCATCACTAGGTTGTCCTTCTGTATAAACAGTATCACTTCACACATAGGCAAATCATATCCATTTAAGAACCTAATAGAGCCAGGTGTGGTGGCACGTGCCTATAAACCTAGCACTTGCATGAGCTTTAGATTGGCCTTGTCTACATAACGAACTCCAGGCTAGCCAGATCTACATAGTAAAACACTATCTCAACCCTCACCATCTTCTTTAAAAAAATCTGGTACAAATGCAATTTTCAATTACAGCTTTTGTTTTGATCCAGTTAAGGTCTTATACTGGACTGGGTCGAACTGCTTCGTTGCTCTATCACCAATTGCTCTCTCTCTCTCTCTCTCTCTCTCATTGTTTTAACTTTTTTGAAGAATCTAGTCCGTTTGTCTTTTAGAACATTTTTCTTAGGGACCAATCTGTATCTTATCTCCTCTACAGGAGTCTCATTAGGAACCACATTTCACTGTACTCAGAGATGGGTTGTGGACCAATCTAACACAGAAGCTGCACAAGGTTCTATTACCTGTCAAATGGCACTGGATGACATAAGAGATGGCTAAGCACTGTATCTGTATACTTAGGTCTGGAGATAAACAAACTCACAGTATTTACGATTTGTTGCCGGACACTAGGCAAGGTGATTACTGATAGCCGGGCACAGATAACACCTATTATTTCTGGTACCTGAAGAGGAAAAAGACATCACTAAGACCTTAATCCTGTAGGACAGTTGAGAGTTTTATAGCCATTCTAAGAAGTCTTGGGAAGATAGAAGACAAAATATTTTTGATTTTGTAAAGCTTAGGATGCTAAGGGTTTGAGTCGCTGCTAAAGCACTGCCCTAGAATATATGAGGGAGGACTGGGATTTGATCCTCAGCACTGCAGAAATAATAATTCAACTTTCCAATTATCTTCTAACAGTGTGGCTCACACCTTTAATTCTAGCTAGCACTTGGGAAGCATAAGCAGGTGAGTCTCTGTGAGTTTGAGGTCAGCCTGGTCTACACCGTGAGTACAGGAACAGTTAGGGCTGTGTAGAGAGACCCTGTCTCAAAAAAATGTATATATGAATGTATGTATACAAAAATATTTGGAAGTGGGTGAAGCTGTAGTTCAGTTGCAGAGTGCTTGCCTAGCATAGATGAGGACCTGGATTTGATATCTGATTCTCAACAGTGAGGTGTGGGGGTGGAAAGAATAGAAGGAAAGAAGTGCTGGAGCGCTGGCTGTAGCTTGGGGGTAGAATGCTTGTTTGACAAGCACAAGACCCTTGCTTCAATCCAGCACTACAGAAAGAAAAAGGAAAAAAAGGCAAGAAAAGAAAGAAGGAAGGAAATAAAAGATTTGTGAGCTGACAGAGATGTCGGCTGTATCCCTGAGAGATGGAGAAATGGGTTTTAGTTTCTCATGCATTTTTTCTGATTTTTGATCAATGATTACATAGTGATTTCATAACAGAAATGTCATGTTATAGCAAGGGAGCCAGCCCTTACCCACTGTCCTCTCTGCTCTTTCAGGAAGTAGAAGCCAGGGCTTTGGGCCACTTCTCCCTCTGCTTGACTACTGACCATGGCATACAATGGCTATGTGCCAGAAGCTGGTTGGAGGGTGGGCAGAGGATGCAATTCTAGCTATAGAAACAAGAGGAAGAGCAAGGCAGCAGTGGCACACTCCTTTAATCCCTGCACTGTGGAGGCAGAGGCAGGCAGATATCTGAATTCGAGGCCAGTGTGGTCTACATAGTGAGTTCTAGGATAATGAGGGCTACAGAGAGACACCCTGTCTTGGGGGAAAAACAAACAAACTAAAAGAAAGAGACATGAGGGAGAATCTACTGGGGGTTTGAGGAAAAGTTTTTCTGCCTTCAATAAAGGGACAAAAAGGGAGGCATCATCTCTCTGGATTGTCTTATCTGTCTTCTCATGAAGTCTCAGCTATGCTGGCCTCATGGACAGGAAAGGCAAAAAGATGGGACCTTTGATCTTGGCTGTCACTGCAAGTCCGTGAGTCCAGCATAGAAAATATACAGTGTCCAGATTTCCTATACATATTTAAGAGTGTATATTTATTGTAATCATTTAATACAGTAAATCACTTCTTTATAGTAAGAATATGTCATATAAACATTTAAACAAATATATCATCAAGACATAAGGTAATCAATTGTTTGAAAAAGCTCCTCACAGTTGGCCTTTCTGGCCACTAAAGGCTCCTGAACCATCTAAGAGTCATCTGACTTCTCTGAGGTGTTCTGTTGTATCTTTGGAATTTTCTTTGTTATGATTCTTTTATTTTTATGTGCATTGGCGTTTTGCCTGCATGTATGTCTGTGTGAAGGTGTCAGATCCCCTGGAACTGAAGCTACAGACAGTTATGAGCTGCCATGTGGGGTACAGGGAATTGAGCCCTGTACTCTTAATCACTGAGCCATCTCTCTAGACCCACTGTTTTTGCTATTTTCATAGGTTAAAAAAAAATGGGTTCCTTCACTCTCCAGCCATGACAAAGAAAAAAATGGGCTCTTATTCTTTAAAAACGCCCTTTCTTTCTGAGATTGTTGCAGTGTTGTAGCTTGAACGCAGGAACGCGGGACTCTGTGCATGGATGAGCGCCCTTCACAGAGCACCTTCATTCCAGAAACACACAATGAGCACTTAAAATGCCAGCGGCTCCTACACTTAGATATTTCTGTATTCTTTCAATGTTTAATTAAGAGAGTCAATTAATTAAATATTTTTAGGGGAAAGAGTTTTGCCTCAAAGCCTAGCCTAGCTAGAAACTCACTATGTAGCGCAAGCCAGCCTTCACCCTTTGATCTTCTTGTCTCAGCCTTCCAGGTGCTGGGATTATTCATATGCAACACCACACCCAATTCTATCCTTTTTATTAAAAGGAATTATTATTGTTTTGTACATGTAAAGGTAAGTGCACACATGCCATGGTGTGTATATATTTGGAGGTCGGAGGACAACTCTGTCATCTTTTCCCACCATGGATCTGGGGATTGAACTCAGGTCATCAGGTTTGTACAGCCGTCACTGACTCATAGAGCCATTTTATTGCCCTCCAGTGCTGTCCCTTTGCATTTTAGATGATAAAAAATGTTATTTCTTTCCTTTGTGTCCCCCTTCCCCCCAGGTATGGTTTCTCTGTGTAACTTTATTGCCTGTCCTGGAACTTGCTCTGTAGACCAGCCTGTCCTCAAACGCACTATCACCTGCCTCTGCCTCCCGAGTGCTGGATTAAAGGCATGCACCACCACTTCTCAGTTTCCTTTGTTATTTCTCGCGTGGGCTTTAAATATATTTAGGCAAGTTCTCTCTCTTTTTCTTTTCTTTTTTCTTTTCTTTTTTTTTCTTCTCTTTTTCTGATGCTGGGGAAAGCTGGTCTCCTTTCGGAGTCACTTCTGGCTGTCTGCTGCTTTAACTTGTTACCTTTGATTCATCTGGGCCAGAAGCTGCACTTAATTCCAAACTCATATTCATCAATTACATCTCCCAGGGAAATCCTTTTCTTTGGGGGAACACACCAGAGAGAGAGAGATGTTCAGGTTGTGTCAGTACACCTCCATATGTGCGCCTCTGGGGGCCAGAGTTCGATGTCAAAGGTGTCTTTCTTAACCACTTCCCACCCTATTTATTTATTTATTTATTTATTTATTTATTTATGACACAACTCTTCAGTCAACTGGAGCTCACCATTTCAGCTGGACTTGCTGGCCAGTGAGCTCTGGGAATTTGCCTAGCTCTGTTCCCTGTGCTAGAGTTACAGACACTCAGGACCATGCCAGGCTTTCACACGGGTCCAAGGGATCTGAACACAGATCCTCATGCTTGTGAAACAACACTTCACCACGGATCTATTCCCCCAGCCCTACACCTTAAGTTTTAAATCTCCCTTGTTTGGTATGGGGACTGGTGACTACATACTTGCATACTTGTGAACAGCAGAGCAAGGCTTTGGTCCCATCCCCACTAGTGCCTAGTTCAAGTGAGCACAAATAGCCAGACCTTTTCAACCACAGAAGGGACAGGGCTTGCTTCTATTTCAAATCCAGGAAACGGCTCTGTGCTTTTACCTTCTCAAATCGGTCCTCTGCATGCTTCATCAAAGTTATCAACAACTCTCCTGCTGTCTGCTGGGTACAGGGATGGGGCAGGCTTTTCAGGCTGTCCAGTGTAGTCATTATGAACTGTCTGAGTTCTTGTGAATCAAGGAAAACTTCAAAGACCTGCAACAATTTAGGAAGAATGAGCTTTCAAGATACCTGGTATGGACTGGGAATACAACTCAGTGTTTGCCTGTGATGTGTGAGGCCCAGCACTGTGACAGAGAGAGGGCTGTGCTATCTAGTACTGGCTTATTTACTGGGATAGCTATGCCCTGTTGCCAACTTGACTGCATTCGGGATTAACAAAAACCCTAGCAGTTTAGTAGACCTGTGAGGGATTTTTTCTTAAATCATTTGAAATGGGAAGACCCACTTTTAATCTGGACCTTTGAAATGGGAAGACCCACCTTTAATCTGGGCCCCACCTTCTGCTGGCAGCCTATATAAAGGACAAGAAAGAAGGGAACTGGCTCTCTCATGAGCAAGTCCATCCCTTCACTGGCCTTAGAGACTACTTCAGCATGTACTGAAGATCAGCTGAGATATCCATCCTCAAGGACTGAACACCTTACTGGATTCTTGGACTTTCTGTTGGCAGACGGCCATTGTTGGACTAGCTGGACCACAGCCTGTAAGCCATTCTAATAACTCATATACATATATACTTTCTATAAGTTCTACCTCTCTAGAGAACCCTAATATATTTACCAAAATGGAAAACTGGAAGCACCAAAAGTCCAAAAGCTATAGTCTATTCACAGCCTTTTACTACTCTGACTCCAAGAGAGAAGCCTAGGAAAACGTCACATTCTCCAGGAGCACTAAAGGACACATCCAGTGCTAGAGAGCTGACAGCTCCCTTGACAAAGCTAAAATGCTTTGTCGGGAGACAAGACACTAACACAATGTGTCACTCTGTGTCTTGCTGCACTTGGCAGTGCGTGAAGTCCTCCACATGACTGAACAGATACACTCCACTGGGTGCTTACTGTGCTACAGGCAGTATGCCAAGCAGCTGCATTATTCAGTTCTTAGGGCAATGGAGCCATCCCAGCTTGTACAGACTCCCACTGGATAGATGAAGAAACTGATACCTGCACTGGCTTACCTGGTACTCTAGACCCTACATGAGTAAGATTTTAAGTATCCCTTTATGTGTGTTTGTATGCATACATGTATATGTATGTATGAACGCATGGGAGTGGTGTGCATGTGTAAGCTAGAGGTCTGTCTCAGTGTTTCCCTCTATCAATCTCTATCTTATTTTCTGAGGCAGGGTCTCTTACTAAATGTGGAACCCACGGATTCTGCCAGACTAGCTGTCCATCAGATCCTAGGGATCCTCCTGGCTCTGTCTCCTCAGAGCTAGGACTAGAGGAATATACTGCTACACTCAGCTCTTTGCTTTTTCTTTTCTTTTTTGGGGGGTGGGGGTTCGAGACAGGGTTTCTCTGTAGCTTTGGGGCCTACCCTGGAACTAGCTCTTGTGGATCAGGCTGGCCACGAACTCCCCAGCCTATAGGTTTCCTTTGTCTCTAACATATGTAGCAGATGCATGTGTCTTTGCTGAGTAATGAACAGTTACATTTAAAAGCACAGAACTTGTTGGTTCGACCGGTCTCTCTTAAGCTCTTCTATGTGAAAGGTTTACATGAGCAAGTAGCTGGCATTCAGTGAGAGTTCCCTAGGCTGAGGTGAAATCACTGGCCTCTTCAGCAAGTCGACATAAACCACTAAACTGAGACAGATGACCAGGCAATAAGACTTGGTAGTATAAGCCTTTATCTCAGCAAGTGGGTGGCAGACACAAGCAAACCGCTGTGGGTTCTAGGACAGTGAACCTAGAACCTAGAACCTAGTTCTAGTTCAGTCAGTGATACACAGTGAGACCCTGTCTTAAAAAAGAGATAGAGGGATCTGGTGTGTGAGGTCATGATCATGGTACCTTTTCTGAAAATCCTGGATGTTTACGGAGCACATTCCTGGGAAATCTCTGTGGTTGGTTTTATAAGAAAAAAAAAAAAAACCCAGAACTTTCCAGTGTCATTTTTACCATCTCACATTTCCACAAACAAACAAGATGGCTGGCTTCTCCCCACCCTGCTAGCACTTGAGGCTGCCTACCTGATGCTTCTGAGCTCTCTAATTACCTGGACAATTTTGAAGGGACAAGAGTAGAACTGTTTGATACTGTAGTGCCCCAGCAGCTCCCTGCACTTTTTCAAAATTTCTTTCAAGCTCTTGCCATTGTCTTTGTCCTGCGTGACATCTAGGAAGAGAATGGGTCATTATTATGCTCTGCTCTGCTTCTTTTTTGCTCATTCCTGAGTCTTTCTGGTGGCCAATGTGAAGTCAATCCTTGATTTTCCCTTGAATGAATCAATCTAATCTGCAAGCAGGTCCTGTCCTCTTCCTTATAAAGCAATACATACAAACAGCCAAAGGGAAATGAAAAGGTGTTTTGTCAGAACAGAGATTTGGGTTGGATGATGGTGGAACACACCTTTAATACCAACACTCGGGAGGCAGAGGCAGGCAGGTCTCCATGGGTTCAGGACCAGCCTGGTCTACAGAGCTAGTTCCAGGACAGCCAGGACTGTTAGGCAGAGGAACCCTGTCTCAAAAAACAAAAACAAACAAACAAACAAAGCAGAGGTTTGGAGTGGTTTGCTGAGTAGAAAAAAGGGAAGGCTCCAGCACTGGAGAGGAAAGGGAGGGCATCTTCCTGGGACTTGCTGACCAGTGAGTTGCCTACTCCCCTCTTTGATGTGCTTTGTTTTTGTTGTGGTTTGGTCCTTTTGAGACAAGGTCTCTTTACATGGCCCTAACTGTCCTAGAATTCACTGTGTGTAGGCAGAGGCTGCTTGTTCGTTTTTCGGCCACCCAGAACCAAAATAATCACACAGAAACTATATTAATTACAATACTATTTGACCAATAGTTTAAGCATATTTATAGCTAGCTCTTACATCTTAAATTAACCCATTTCTATTATTCTATGTATTACCATGAGGCTCATGGTTTACCTGCAAGGTTCCGGGGCATCTGTGTCCTTTGGCAGTTACGTAGAGTTTCCCTAACTCTGCCTTCTCTCTCTCTCTCTCTCTCTCTCTCTCTCTTATATATATATATATATATATATATATATATATATATATATATATATATATATGTATATCTTCCAACCTGGCTATATTCTGCCCTGTTATAGGCCAAAGGAGCTTCTTTTATTAGCCAATGGTAATAAACCATATTCAAAGCATACAGAGGGGATCCCACATCAACTATGTAGATCAGGCTGCTTTTAAAGCCAAAGAGATCCACCTTTCTCTGCATCCTGAGTGCTTGAGTGCTGTCACCACATTCGGCTTGTTTCTCATGCTTTAATGTGACTTCATATTGCTGGACAGGGCATTGTAAATATTTGTTGAATCAATAATTGAATTATTAAGTATCAGGCTGTCCAGATATCCAGAAATAAATTAAAACTGGACTACAGGAGGATTTCCATCCATTAGAGAAAAGCCAGTATTCCTAGCAGGGCCTAATAGTACACACCTTTGATCCCATCTCTCAGGAGGAAGAGGCAGGTGGATCTCTGAGTGTGAAGCCAGTTTGGTCTATAGAGTGAGTTCCTGGACAGCCAGACAGCCAGAGCTACATAGTGAGACTCTATATCAATCAATCAAACAAACAAACAAACAAAAAAGAAACAATTTTTAAAAAGTCAGTGTTACTTAGAAATTTGTGAAGTCAGTTTCCAGCTGCTAAAAGAAATAATTTCCTATACCTCTGGCAGAAAAGGCATATGGCTACCCATTGGCATGTACCCCTGTGGCAGCATATCAAAGCCTATACTGGCTCTCCAGGTTACCCCAATCCATGTTCACAAGTACTTGTTACATATTTCAAAGTCCATTCTCTCAGATACCAGTTTGCTCTTCTGATAAGGACAAGGCTTTCTTCCCCAGACCCCTCTGTCTCTTGCTATCTCTTCTCACTTTTCTCACTTGCTATCTTCTTGCCCCATGCTATTGTCAATATATTCATATCTCTATCTATCTATCTATCTATCTATCTATCTATCTATCTATCTATCTATCT